ATCAGCCTATCAGGCTTGATAATTGAAGGGTTTTTAGGTCTTGTCGGCGTTGGGAGGAGGGTGGTTGTGCGAGGATGCTACTACTATGATGACAAGTACTATTACCGCGACTATTCTGTTCAATGATTAATGCTGCTTGTGACATTGTTTTTAGGGGTGTATGGCCTTGCATGGTTCTGTTTAGGGCATATTTCGGGTTCGGAAATACTACTGCTATGCCTCCCGCTGAGCACGACTGCTGTTGCTACTCGTAATGGAGACTGCGAGCAAAGCAAACAGGACCGCGTTGCTGGGACATTGACCCCTTCCTGGTAGTAGTGAACACAGTTATTCACTTGTGGAAGATGGGTGCTGAGAAAAGGACGTGGATTCCGTGAAGGTAAGTCCGTCACCATCCAAGACGACAGGTGCACTCAGACAGTAGACAATGGAGTCCGAGGGCCGGGCTGTGGTTCTGCAAATGCTCAAATGCCTTCGTCGCCCATGTAACGGGATCTTTTTGCGTTGCCAGGTACCAGTGCTCTTTGTCACCTTAGATTTGCACAGCAGCACTTTGACCAGGAACCTTGCAGAAAGTTTGCAAGCCGCGTAGCTCTCCTTGTCCAGGCAACGATAAAGGAAAGCCGACAGATCTGACTTCTTGAAGACTTTGCCTGCCGCTCTTCTTGCAGGAATCGTGGAAAGAATAAAAAATGATGACAATTTCATGTATCATGTTTAGAAGCAAGCCAAGATGCTGATGCGTACCGGAGCATGCCAGTAATTCCTACAGGATTGCGCGATGCAGAAGATGCTCCGAAAGCAGGGTATTTCTACCGCTGAATCGGTTGTGGTTGCTACGCTGCTGGCAATTGCTGCTAGCCTAGCTCTTACTCCTGTCCCGACATCATCCGGCAAACACGGCACACTTGTGCTGAGCCCCTGTCGAGTAGTGGAGGCCCGGCTGGTTCTTGATCAGGGAAGGCTTCATGGTCTTGACCAGCCAGTTTGGCAGAATTCGGGCAAGACCTCACGACAGAGTCTTCAGCATCTGGCAGCTGCTTGAAGCGATGCGCCTTTGTAGAGCCGGTGCGGAGGACGCAACCTGAATTCCAAGACTGCACGGCGCTGCTTACCCCAAGCCCAAAGCCCTTACTAAACCCTACGGAGTTTCCAGTTCATTTTCCGTGGTTCTTTCCATTTGATTCTTCATGGTGCGAGTACAGTGCTGCGAGCTCAGCCCTTCACGGCATCCAGTCGTAGAGGCCCTCCAGTTTCTCCAACCGCTCGTACCGCAGCTCTTCCCGCTCAAGGGCAGCAACCTAACATGTCAGCCTTATAAGCCATGATCATCCATCATCAGGGGATTGCTGCAAAGCACCCAGACCTCTTTGCCAAGATCAGCAATCTCCTTGGAGAGCGGCGCTTCCTGCACCAACAATGTCCATCCATTGCTTTACAGGTGAAAGAAAAAGCTTAGCGCACCCTCCGCAAGGTAGCCAGGCTGTGTCGCTTGATTGCCAGTTCTGTGCGAAACTCCTCAGCCGCCACCCAATGAGCAGCATGTCAAGACAAGGTTCTGCCGTTGGGGCGCAGGGCGCTTGAAGTGCACAAAGCGAGCTTCACAGCCGCAGTACTCCTGCAAGTCATATCAAGGAATCAGGCGCTGAAATCATATCTGCAGGCACGCGGACCTTGAAGAAAGTCAGCTTGGGATTGCTTTTGCTGTAGCTGTCTCTGTCCTCAGCACTCGCACTTGCAAAGGGACTTTCAAAAAGTAGAGCTGCTTCGTTAGTGTGGAATGCCTATCCGCAGCTAGCAGCGTAAATCCTACAGCCAATAACCGCCATAACCCCTCAACCCTACCAATTAACCCAGGCATCAATCTTGACTTCATCGGGGTAGCTCTCGCTGACCTCCGCATTGCCCCGGATCAGCCAGCACTGTGCCTTGCCCTGCAGAGCTAGATAGCTTAGGGACTACACGGAGATTCTGTCGGGATTACACGTGTATCATATAGGGATACAGAAGCATTATACAGTTGCAGGGGTTTTCTAGGGTTTAGAAGGACAAAATTTAACTCCGGAACGGGCACTATTCGGGTTGGGGATTTCAAAAAAATACTGTAAGACTAGACAAGGACACATTCGCGCCCGCGTTTATGTATATTTGCACATACATACCTGTATGCATAAGAATTCGTAGGGACACATTTATCGAGGAGATGCTTAGATCAGTCTTTCTGGGTGTTTCTTCAAATGCCGATCTGGTTCACTTTGCGTAAGATGCCCCCCTCACCTACTTGCGGGCCGCTTCCACGGGAATCAGTCCTCTCAGCCGATCAACACTTGCTGAAGCACTCTATTCATCCTGCTTGCCTTCTTCTGTGGTCTGAAGACAACTGCTTACCTAGAATTCCTGGAAGTGTTTTTCTTCGTCCACCTCATGACGTTGGGCTCAGTGCACTGCACATTTCGACTCGTAAAGAACTGCTTCATTGGCAGGGCATACAACTGGCCTCCATTATTTTGTCATTGAAAGGATTTCGAAGAACGTAGCCCAAGCACTTCCCGCCGTCGTTGTCCATGGCATAATTCCTTTGTGTCAAAACAGTGCTGGAACAGCCTGACATCGCCTACCAGTTTAGGGAAACTCCGGGCCTTATTAGGACTCCCAAACTTGGAATAGGAATTCTGGGAAGCCCCCCAAACAAAGGAGAGCTGCACGTTGCAAAAGTTCTCGCAGTCCGCAACTCCAATGGAGCCATGCGGGACAACCTTGGGAGGCAATTGCAGCGAACTGGGAAAGCTGCTAGTTTCAAAACATGGTAAACGGACTAGAATATACTCAAGGGTATATACAGGCCCGCACTGCTTGTGGATCCCAGGTGGTCTTGAGGATCCTACTGACTCTCTAGCAAGGCCCTACGGGACCCAGGATCCTTTAGCAATCCCCAAGACTTCCTGATACCCCATGGGTCCCTCTAAACCCTGAACCCTAAACACTACACGTGTGAGAGGCATTCTGAGGCCGAGGGGCGACGACCCGGAGGGCGCTGTTCCGAGCTTCTCGAGCACACTTTGACTTCAACTCATTGTTGGGACAAAGGGCTACCAGACCTCGTGGTACTGTTGCAGACAAAATCCTGCATGAGCGTGAATATGCTAATTATAGCACCACAATTGCTGGGGCGTAGGTATGTTTACCTGAGTAGTGTGATGCAGGATTTCTGCTCATCAGTTGTACGGACGGCAAGGAGGCTTCAGCTTCGATAGCAGAATTTCCGGCCAAGGCGCTCTTGAAGGGAGGGCGACCAGAAGGTACCGCAGTTGGGACGGAGGAATACCTAACACCCATGTCGCGTTGATTGCAAGGTCTTTCGGGGAAATTATTGACGGTGCCTGCTGCCTGTAGGCCGAAAGAAACTATAGAGGAAAGTATGTTCCATCATGACCTTTTTGGAACAGGAATTTTGATCCACTACTGTATGGGGCCACTGAAAGACTCGGAGCAGCTGCAGGTGGACATTGCCATACGCACAGCTACAGCCAACTAACGGCACTAACGCGGCTCACTCTGCATCCTTGCACCTCTTAGAACCATAAATAAGGGAACCCAACATAGACCCCGACATACTATGCTCCTTGTTATTGAGACCCCCAAAATGGTCTCATGCAATTTGGTTCAGAGAGTTGAACCTAGCATTAGCAAGGCTCTGGGGCAACCAAGGACCGGGCTGGCACCGCTCGCCTCCTCTTGTCCTACAATGCATCGAAATCTGGGGGTCTAAAGATGGGGGTCTCCGTTTATGGGATCCTCCATAATGTCCAAGCTTTGTATCATCTTCTGGTCTGAAAACTTGACCAGAACACCCTTAAGATCATGAGTGCGGGATTCGTTCATCTTGGGGCCATATGGTCCTTCATAGCACAGTCGATTTTGGGGTAGTCCAAAACACCCGGCATGGTCCTTGCTTCATCCAGGCGCAGAAGCCTTGCACAGCTGTGTGCATCTAGAGATCGGGAGAGCCAATGTTTCGATGCAGCTTGTTTGCAGACATCAGCATCATGTGAGTTTCCCAAAATTAGGGGTACCTTTTTGGGGGTCCGTACAATAAGGATAATAGTATGTGAGGGTCTATACATAGTGGGTCCCGCTATTTAGGGGTAGGGAAACTACACATCAGCCCGGCAGAGCCAGCATAGTTGCTGTGACTTACGGGCTGTTAGCGGGACTATATTCTATAGGGATTATGCTCGCATTTTACCGACTAACCCTAAACCCTAAACCCTTTGTATATATATATATATATATTCCCATATTCCCTACTAACGACCAGTAAGGTGAGAGCTCATCCGCGCTGTAGGCTCGCGGCTGGCTCTCGAAGCGATATGCAGAAACCAAACATGCCGCTTGCAGCAAGATGCCTCCCGTAAAATCTGTCAAAAGGTAGTCGTGTTTTTTCTTTTTGTGTTCTGTTTTTCTTTCGTGGGGGGTGGGGGGGGGGTATGGTTTCAGGGTTTCGGGTTAAGAGTAATGCAACCTAGGCTGCAAGAAACAAGACTGCATGTCTGCTGCAGTGAGAACTTTTACAAAACGCAATTGTTCATTCTTCATGGAATTGACAATGAAAACTTACTATGTCATACTTGTCGGGACTATATTTGACAAAGCTCTGGAAAGTAAAGCCAATGACCGCGCGGACCTTTGGCGACAAAGCCCATGCTGAATTGGTCGAGAATGTAGTTGATGTATCCTGGTACTGTGACATCTCTCTGAGTCTCGTCTCATTTGGAACACATGCGCCCAACACCTTCCAACTTGCAGATCCAAGCCGCTGGCAGTCCACAGGAAGTGCTGTGGAGCTAAGAGCCAGAAACACCAGACGGATGCAGCGGTTTCAACATCCAACGCAATGCAACTGACATCAGGGCAACATATCCCCAGGTCACAATGCTAAACACGCAAGCACAAATTGACGCACCTCGCGTAACGTACCATCTTTACATGTGCAAGCCCACCTTCTTGGCAGTGTTGACGGCTCGCTTCTCCTCCACCAGCGCAGCCTTGGCAGAGGCACGGGGCAAATGGAAACAACCAAAGAAATGCAACCCCACTAACATGTAACACGAGAGAACACCAGTAGCCTGTGTGGTCTTCCTGCTCTTCTCGGCAACCACCTTCTCATCTCGGAGACTTGCAAGCTCCTGCACACAATTTGGGGGCTGCACAGGTTTTGTTCTCCGCACATGCTGGCATACCTGCCTGAGAGCCATGTCGTGCATGGAGCCACCAGCATGAGTCTGCTTCTTTCATGGTTCCGATCCAATACTAGCAAGTTTCATCTCCACTCAACCAGTCTGTATCAAACCACGTGATGTGCACCTCACGGTGGCAACCTACTGGCTGTCCTTGAGCTTGGCATCCTTGGCACTGCCCTTAGCCTTCTTGTACCTGGCCAGCCACGGCTTCTAGAGCAAGCCAAGGCCCCAGATGGCAAAAAAAAGCGGCGGCACAGATTTCATCTGGCATGTTGGAGGGACTTTAGGGGAACTCGAAACGTTGAACTGTTCCTAGACAACATCACCGAGTCACTCTTCATTCGCTCTCTTAATCTTGCCGTCGAGGTTGGAGATCTGATTTGCGAGCTCCTTGTCTTTCGCCTGCACCAGAGAACTCTCCACAGAAGCACACGCGTCAGGCTACGGACCCGAAAAGCAACCCACAAACCAGAACAATCAGGAATTAATCATGTCTATTGGATACTGATGATGGCGACGCCGATGACGCTGGCAGACTGTCTTGTTCCACGACTGCCCCGCAGAGGTCTAAATCTGCTTTGACATATGATGTAAAGACAGCCGCCTCAGCATCCTTCTTCTTCGCCTCGATGGCTTGCAGCGCCTCAAAGAGAGGCGTGGCTAATCTGTCGCAGGTCACTCAAGTGATCCTGGATGGCAAGGGTTCTGCTGTTCATGGGGAATAAGCGGCCGCTATCTTGCTATGCAGCTACTGCATGGACTGAAACGTGCTGGCGCTAAAGTTCTGGGAAGACTACCTAACCTACACCTCAGATGTCTGGTCTATCATGTCTTCTCTACGCGTCCGATGAGCAGGGTACCTTGTACTGCTGGTCTTTGACCTTCAACCTCTTGGTCGAAGACTCGGCCAGCGCCTTGGTTGGCCAACAGGCAAAGCATTCCAGCCTAGTCCGCTGCCTGCGCTGGATGCAGATTCATGTGCCGCTATGTCGCAACACAAGGGCTCCTCCAAAAACTCCCGAACATACTAAGAACCTTACGATGAAGACCTCCTCCCTGTAAGACCCCTGGGGTGGGTGCCACATCCGCAGGCTTCTTCGCCTTGCGACAGGCTTCGACATCGCACATATCGCGCATGGCATGGCTTGCAGCTTTGCAGAGCCATGCTGATGCCCAGGCCTTTGCTGGTGCACTGGCGCTGCGAGGGGCCTTCTTAGCCTGGCGCCAAGAGCCCGAGTGTCCAAAGTGAAGTCTCGCTTTGCGGATCCTTCCCGGCTCCGGGCTCCCGGCAGCCTCAGCAGCGGCCTTTGCCTTTTCTTCCGCTGCCTCAGAGAAAGCCATGGAGAATGCAGCGTGCCACTTGCGAGAGGCATGCAATGACGACACACCTTGACATGTGTATCTGGGCTTGTGAGTCGGTTAAGCAGCTCCAGGATAGGAGGAGGCACTAGTCACCATTTCATTTCAACATGCCTCCTATTACCAGAATTGCAGACAAATTGTGTTTCGGGCCTTCTTTGCTTCTGCAGCTGCTTTCTCATCTGCGGCTTTTTTGGCCTTCGTTTTCACAGTTCCGGGACAACAAAGACATGGCAACAACAGCTAAGTGGGCCAGCAGTCGCCGGCAGACATTCTGGCCTCAGCTGCAGCCTTCTCTTCTCTGGCCTGTTCATGACAGAGAATAGAGCAAAATACGCAAAGCGTCCTAGAAGCAAACCACGCGGTATAATTAAGGCCAACATGAGCGGTGCCATGGGCCTTTTTGGCTTCTGCGGCTGCCTTCTCCTCAGCGGCCTTCTTGGCCTTGACAGCCTTAACCCGCATGCAAGCAAGAGATTAACTCGGCTGGTTCCAGGCAGGCAGGACTGGTATCTGAGCTATGGTCTAAACTTGTAGCATCCCTCTTAACAACCCCTATAATACTCCGCTGTCCAATCCCCTGTATAAATCCACTTTAATGAGTTTAGATTATAGCCCATTTGATTATGGACAGAGAGATCAAGGCCGGCAGAGCAACGCTTACAAACACCAGTGGCAATACCGCGCTCGGACCCACTCAGAAGCCATCACTTAATGTCTCACGCTAGACATTCACGAGCTTGGTTGCTTCACTGTTCCACTGCGCAATCTATTGATCATGCATAGCGGAAGCAGATAGACTCGATATAGTTGGCAAGCAAGAAAAACATCCTGTGTCCGCACGTTGTTCATGTCTGGTCTTGGTCTCGTCTTTGAGCCGTATCGAGCACAGCTGCTCATGCAACAATATAGCTATCGATGATGGATGCAACTTGGGGCAGCGTGAGAAATGCAGCATGATCTATCTGGGGAACATACACCTCAAAACCCTGTCTAATTCTTCAACCTTCAACCCTAGATTGCATGCGCAGCTGGTCTCAGAGTGGGGCAGCACTTTGCAGAATATGATCTACCGCTCTTATCGAAGGTTGCCTGATGCTAGTATGATACTAGTTTTCCTGCGCAACCCTACAGTGTCTGCTACTTGTGATGTTTCTTCCAGCTAAACGTATGGTTTTTGTAAGCAATACCATACTGGTTTGCTTCAGATTTCATTTCAACTAGCTGAGCCGACATGATTTCATGTGATTTCATCAGCCCGACCAGGCTTACCTACGCGAGCTATTCCTTGACAGCAGCGCGAACAATGACGCAGTAAAGCTCTCCGTGCCAAGCTCTAACATCCAATGTGAAAGTTAACCACCAAAAATAGGAGGATGCTCCATAGGTTCTCACGAAGGAAAATGAGATGGGCCTCCGCCTCTGCCTTGCGCTTGGCCTTCGCAGCTGTCTACATTTACTCCAAACACATCAACCGGCTAACAACATGCTCACATACTACATACGACACAAGACAGCACAACCTTGCAAGCTTGTGCAACATGGCCTCAGCCTCAGCCTTCTTCTTCTCTTCATCCGCCTTCTTCTTGGCTTCGGCCTCTGCCCGCGCCTTCTCAGCTTCTTCCTTCTTTTTGGCTTCCTCTGCCTTCTTGGCCTCTGCCTCAGCCTTCTTCTGGGCTTCGGCTTCTGCTCGAGCCTTCTCAGCCTCTTCCTTCTTTTTGGCTTCCGCCGCCTTTCTGGCCTCAGCCTCAGCCTTCTTCTGGGCTTCGGCTTCTGCTCGAGCCTTCTCGGCCTCTTCCTTCTTTTGGGCTTCCGCCGCCTTCTTGGCCTCTGCCTCAGCCTTCTTCTGAGCTTCGGCCTCTGCCCGTGCCTTCTCGGCTTCCTCCTTCTTTTTCGCTTCATCCGCCTTCTTGGCCTCTGCCTCAG